AATACTCAATACTGCTGTTTCTGCACTTCACTGGACCTGCTCGTTGACATTCCTGGATTTGTTGGATTTCAGTATCATCAGCTGTGTGACAGGAGTTACACTGAAACCTGGGTGTCTTTCTTTGTCTCCACAGCCTGACTGTGTGCCTGCTGTGGAATCTGAGCGTGGGTGAGTCTCGCATAAAAAAAACTTTTTATAGTCTAAAGTTTGGATAGATGTCATGACTTCTGTGAAATTTGAGCTTAGAATAGAATAATCCTTTAATTGTCCCACAAGGGGAAATTTGGGTGTAACAGCAGCAAGAAAGACACATATACAAACAAACAGTACACAAGAGTTTCATACATCAGATATTTCTTCAGGTATGCATTTTTCTTAAAGGCCGATCCACTCACATTCAGCCCTCCCTCACAAACACACATGAAAGTCTGACTGCATCTTTAATATTAACGTCTCAAACAGTGTTAACTGTTGCTAAGTGCTGGATCGAACAAATATGACAAATGATACCACAAAAACATCAGTAGAAAATAGAAAAAGAGTCTGGGGTTAGATTAAACACGGGCATATTTTCACAAGTGGATTACTTGCTCATTTCATGTGAGAAGTCTTCTGAGGCCAATACATAACGGAGTGATCAGTAGTCAAGATTCTAACTGTAATGCAACGATGGCTACAGGCAAGCAGGGGTCAGACGGTCAGCATGCTGACAGCCAGAGTGAATGCTGCAAGATTTTTGACACATGAAAATGCTACTCTGTGGCAGTTTTAATGCCTCTTTGTATATTTAAACCTAGCCTGAATTAAGTTTATCAGTCAGCTTTACCTCAGACTACTCCTGAGCGATGTCCCTGCTTTCAAACTCGATCTCAAAAATGAAAACATTAGTTTAATGTTGCATTTCTGTGAAATATAGCTCTATACTATTCAGAAATTGTCACTAGTTGCTTTTGAAGTTTTTTATTTTCAAATATGGGACTTCAACACTTGAATTATTATTAATTTCTATATTTATTTCATATTTTAACTAGCCAGTAGTGAAGACATTTATTAACGGATCTGTCTCAAATTGGAGACTCTCGGCGTGTTCGCTCACCTTAGTGTAGTTTTTTTTTTTGGTTCAGTGTTGGTTCTCCTTGTGTGTCAGGGTAATTTAAGATATTTAAACACAGTGTGATTAAATATTTCCACCAAAAATAAGACCTAAAGCAGAAGACAGCTCTATGTGGTTAAGTATTGCGGTTTCAGTTCCCAGTCAAGTGTGAATCTTCTTCCTCTTTCTGGTTTCCTGCTGTTCATGTTCTTGTTGCGTTGCATCAGGTGAGCTGAACAAACATGAGAAGCATGCCATGGAAAGTCTGTGTGGCCCTCCAAAATAAACCAAAAGTAAAAGTGTGCAGTCATTAGAGAGCAGTTTGAGTGAGTTGGCAGTTCCTACTGACCAGTGTAGTCATTTTCTGAATGTAAACGGCTCGTCTCATTGTGGTACCTGCATGTACGGCAGCATGAGACAGACAGGAAAGTGGAAGATGTGAAAGAGTGGAAAATTTCTGAGCTTGGCAATTGTTGTTCCCTTTGTGGACAGAAGAGGATTTAGATCCAGTTTAGTTAGTGTATGTTTGCATGTGAGCAAAGAGCAGAGATGAGCAGGGAGTCTGTTGATACTGTGGATACACAATCACTTCTTCATACAGTGATGCACACAACAAAGAGGCTGCAGGGTGGCCAGAGAGTCACTAACCACATGGTTTTTTAGGGTTACAAATGGTCTGAGACCGTCCAACAGACTCCATGCCATCGATTGGCTAATCAGTGGCGTCACTCGATAAGTCATGAGAGCGTCTCCTTCACCTAAATCAGGTATACCATCACCTCGGCGTCCATGTTGCATACAAATGACGTCACAAGACACTTCTCTACGTTGCTATAACAACCCGATGTGCTTTAGGTTGTACTCGATTGTAATGGAAAAAAGAGTCGTGCCACGTTGGGCCTGTCCCAGTAGGTACTATGGAAAAAACCCTAAAGACTGTGCAGAAAATCAGGATCCTGCTACCGTCTTTATGACTGGATTTATTACAGATGAATTAACCTTTATAATGTAAGCAGGTTGCCTGGAATTATTTTCTAGTTTCAGCTGTAAAAGTATCATAAAATAATCTGTGAGTGTGTGGTTTTCTCTCTTGTTTATCACCAGCTCCAGGCCTGTGCTGAATACATGAAAGAATGGCGCCCCTCCAAATAAACAAAGAACAAACAAAAACAAAGATGAAATCCATAAAACTACAGAAAAGAAAAGTGAAATCACAGGAAAGAACAGAGGACAAAAATCAGTACAAATACATAAAAAAGAGAAAAATCACAGCAAAATAACAGTAGAAGAACAAAAACGATTAAAAAAAAAACAGGGTAATAAAAATAAAAACACTCCCAAATTTTCCACAGATCTCTGTTACACTTAGTGATTTACTGACCTGTAAACCAACTGGGGATGCTGGACTCACATCAATTATTTTTATCATGTGTTTGTTTTTAGTTCTTATGGTTCAAAGAATTATACAACTAGTGTGTCAGCTTATAAGCAATAAGCCTGGCTGCCAGAAAGTCTTTTTAGCTTGACAATGAGAAACTGAATGGGGGGGAGGGGGGGCATGCTTGCACTTCATCCAGAATATTCCTGGCAATCTCAGAGTGGACTGTGTGGGAAAAGAAACACGCTGAAAACATATTAGCTGATGAGTGCCACACTGTCACTTTTTTCATTCTCAGCAAAGTGTGGAAGAAATCAGCGATGAGCACAGAGAAAATGTAATCTGTGAGAGTTGTTGGTTCTGACATACAGTTGTGCAGTACGAGCCCAAAAGCAAGTGCTGGAAACATCTTTGCGCA